TATGGTTTTAAGCAAGCCGGCCCTGCCATAATAAAAAACAAAAAAAAAAAAAAAAAAAAATTAAAAATATGTAAATGCAGTTGTTTTTGGTTCTCAAACTTCTTGCGCAAAATATGTGAATGCAATTGTTTTTGGTTCTCAAACTTCTTGCGCAGCAGCTGCCCTCCGTTTAGACGCCGATTTTGTTTGCGCCGGGTCTGCGTAAATGCTCCGTAACCATGGGCTACTGTAGTCGTATTTCATCGTCGTCTTGTAAACAGGGCCGGAGCTAATGACAGAGGCAGGGGCTACGCTAAAACATAGACAGCTCCAAACCGTCATCACGTTTTATCTCAAACGCCCCCTAGTGGCAGCTCGTGCACCACGCTCTGGGAAGCCCTGATCTACACTAAACTTTATTTAGCACTGACGGCCGCTAGAGGGCACTCTCGGCTTGTGTACCAGTATCTGCTATTCGTGCCACTGAATATTTACGTTTGTTATTTTGAAACTGACAGCCGCTAGAGGGCACTCTAGGCTTGTGTGTTAGTATCCGTTACTCCTGTACCACTGAATATTTACATGTTCGTTATTTTCAGACTGACTGCCACTAGAGGGCACTCTAGGCTATTGTGCCACTGAAAAGTTACATGTTCGTTATTTTCAAACTGACAGCTGTTAGAGGGCACTGGGGCGACTTATACTCCGGCTGTTAGAGGGCACTGGTGCGACTTATACTCCGCAGCGGAAAATAGTCCGGAAAATACAGTAGTTACAACTGAACAAGCGACATCCATACGTCAGCAAAATCAGACGTTTCCTCCTGTAGATCAATAGATTTTTGATTGTAATTCTAACTGTATCCCAACATTTCTAAAGTTTTCTTGTCTCTGTTCATCTTCCAGACCCCTCAAGTTCTGCCTCTGCCTCCCCCGCCCTCACCCACTCCTGTCTCCATTACACCATGTTACCTCAGAAAGCCTCTATCCAAGCCATTACACGTAAATGCACTGCCTTTTTGATTGGAATCGCCAGACCACACCTGAGGGAATTCGCATCGCAACGGTGATTAAAGAACATTAAACTCTACGTTCGGCCTGTGACAGAGTCATCAGAGAGGAGAGAGAACCCAAGAACCCAGCCGGGATTCCCAAATAAATCCTCATCGATTTCTACTTCTTGCCAACAGATCGGACGTTGGACTAAGTAAGTTTTCCCGACAGGAACAAAGAAGCAAAGTGCAGCATTTGTGAATATTTGCTTTTTCCATTTTGTCTGGAGATTTTATGAATATTTAAAGGGCATTTGGTCTTTTAATCCTGAGATTACATGTAGTTTATTTTTCTACAGTCTTTTCTTAACATCAGAATTGGTAAATAACAAAGCGAATGTTTTTAATAACTTCTTCTACCAAACATTGACCTTAAGGGATTGTGGGTGGTCTTTCTCGCGATGGATCGTACGCGCCGCAACGTAAAAAAATCCCTCCTAATTTTTGGAGCAGGAGTTGGGGGTTCCTTTCTTGTATAGTGAGTATTTATTGTCCCTCTCAATGTGAAAAGTATTTTTTAAAATTAATGTAAAAAAAAAAAAAAAAAAAAAAAAGAAACCCAAAAAAATGACTTAGATGCCGATCTGGCATATTTAAATCTCTGGTTTATTTCTTTTTACATCGTTTATTGGGTTTAGTTGTTATTGTTGTTATTGTTGTAGTACCTGTGCCACTTGACCAGGAACTTAGTCTGAACAATGGAGACACCAGTGAAATAAAATGACCATAATTGTTATTTCTTTGTTTACTTGAATCATATGGCTTCATTTTGTCCTTGTTGTTTTAGATTTCTCCAGCACAGCAGAGAAATGGATTATGGTACGCATATGGACATAAGTGTACCACTGCTGTAATGCTTGAATGATTTCGCTTTGGCGCTTTGGCCCAGAGGCAATGTCTCTGTCATTGGTGTGGAACCCCGGGGTTCACCTCCTGGGCAAGATCGAACCCCGGTTAGGGCGGTTGGTACCTTCCAGT